AGGAAAATGGAGGAGAAGGGATTGCGGCGTGACCATCCCCCCTGGGGGGTGATTTCTCGCTTTCTGTCTCTATGTCTCTCTCTGTCTGTCTGGCGAGTGCACGTGCCCTATAGCAAAAATCTCTCCAAAAAAAAAAAAAAGGAGAGGATGAGGAGGACTGTTCTGAATTGGTAGAAATCACTTCCTCACTTTGGCAGGAAGGAATGGGGCCAGCTTGTGGCATAGTGGTTAAGGTGCTGGACTCCCACATGGTCGACCATTGTTTGAGTCCCAGACCTAGCAGCTCAAAACTCAGGTCAGGCTTGTATGTGCGTGCACTCGCATGTATGTCCAAAATCCCAAGAGGAGAAGGGAGGAGAAGAGATTGCAGCATGGCTATCCCCCAAGGGGAGGTTTACTTGCTTTCTACTTTTTTTTTTTTTTGTCTCTGTCTCTGGCGAGCACACATACCCTATACCAAAAGTCTTCAAAAAAATAGAAAAATAAAAAGAATGAGGAGGACTGTTGTGAGTTGGTGGGAATCATTTCCTCACCTTGACAGGATGGAGTGGGTGCTCTTGACATAGCAGATGTGGATTCTGGGCCACATACACAGGAGAGCCAGAAAAGAAACATACTGTCTATTCTGTGGCTCCCACATTCTTCCTATGATTTCTTCTCACCTCCACAGAGAGAGCTGTGTCTTCTGCATAAGCTTTTTTTAGGTTGCTGTTTTTTAGGGCTCTCAGGAAATTAATTGGTCTACTTTTCTAACTAGGAAGAAGAATCCCTCCTTAATGTCTGCAAGGAGATTGTCGAACGATGGTCGGAAACTCAAAGTGTCGTCACCAAAGTTAAAAAAGAAGGTAGAGTTGGAGTTTTCGTGTCTAAGCTATAGAGCCTTTTTGTTTGTTTGTTTAATATTTAACTTCATTTTTTCTTCAATTTGTTGAGAGAGAGACAGACAGAGAAAGTAAGTCACCAGGCCCGGGACTCAAATCGTGGTTGTGCATGTGGAAGTCCAGCACCTTAACCAATACGCCACTTGCCAGCCCCGCTATAGAGCCTTCTCAATAGCCTTTACTGTACAGTTATTTGGGAGATAGTTCTTTAGTTCTTCATTTTCCTCTTTGGATATTCATTTTCCTTGAGATAACGTACAATGAAAAATACTTAGCAGCTTACTTTAACTTTTTGCTGAACATTTTTTTTCTCCTTTTGTATTTTTCCATTTCAACTGACCACAGTGGTTTTCACTTTCAAATGTTTCGCATGCGCACACACAATTTATATTTCCAATAGACACATGCACTTGTCAGAGAGCGAGCGAGCATTCCAGTGGGCATGGTCACACCACAATCCTCTTTTATCCAATTCTCAGGATTTGGGAAGTGTACATACATGTGCTGGGCATTTTTTTTCAAGCTGCTGGGCTGAGATTCAGACCATGGTTAGCTATATGGTATCTGGTCTCCATGCACAACTCCTAGCACTGTGCTATGGGGTTAGCTCCCATTGTGTATGTTTTTGTTTTTGTTTCTGTTTTTAAATTTGCCAGTGAGCATGTACACTCGCAGGAGGGGGTGGCGGATGAAAAAGCACTCCCCATGTGTAATGATCATGTTGCAATCCCTTCTCCTCTCTCTCTCCCTCTTTTTAGTATTTTGGGCATGCATGATACACACACATCCAATGTGTTTCCCAAGCCGCTGGGTCTGGGAATTGAACTGTGCGGTAGGTCATGAGGATCTATCTACTTTAAGCACTGCATCACCTGCTGGCCCCAGCATTGTTTTTTGTTTTTTGATATAGGGCATGTGAGCTAATCAGAGAGAGAGAAAATGAGAAATTTAGGGCATGCATGCATATAGGCACAGTGTGTGATTTTCAGGCTACTAGGTCCAGGGCTAGAACAATGCTGTTGGCTTTGTGGGATCCAGTGGCCTTACCCTCCCCACACCACATGCTGGTCCCAGTATTATTTTTTAAGCTCTCCTAGATAATTCCAGTGCACAGTCAGATGTGAGAACCAGTTGATACCATTGCTTTCTATTGTTGAGAATGGGGACTTTGATAGATAGGGCAAAATAATCTTAATCTGGGACCAGCAGGTGGCATGGCGATTGAGGTGTGCTAGACTCCTACATGGCCAACCATGGTTCAAATCCTGGACCTGGTGACTTGCTTTCTCACTTTCCCTTCTCTCGCTGGTCAAATTAAGAAATAAATAATAACAACAAATAAGATTAAATAAATAATCCTTTTAAAAAACCTTAATCTGGAACCAGCAGGTGGCGTGGTGGTTAAGGTGCTGGA